AGTTTTACATTAGTTGTATTTATTTAGTCCTTTCAAATTAATATTGTTATTTGTCTTATATTTATAATTAACTATTATTATTTATATAATTGGTTATAATCATTTATAATTTACTGTTAATAATTATTTTAAAGTACGTAAAAACTGTTATTTATGTACTACAAATACTTTAAGAAATTTTTAAAACATGCGAGGCGAGCTATCTACGGCATCGCCAGAGAAAGGTGACATTTTCGGAAGAACGGCGGGGGAAAACAGCTGCCACTTTCGACTACTGTTTACTCCTAATGCTGCGCGAATTAAGTAAATGGAAACTGCTCATTTCCATAACCGTCAGAGGGTTAAAATAAAACATTGCGAGTTCTAAACATTTTTTTTTTTTTTTTAAATTGTGGTTCAGTTTTATAAAAAAAAAGGCTAATCTTTGGAATATGGTAACAAGTAGTTTGGCGACATTTTGGTAAGGCGATAAAGGTTACTAGCTAGGACTTTAGCAGTATACACGGATAAAGTCAAGAGTGAGCGCAATGCCCTTTTGGTGCAATTCTGGGATGTTTTTTTATAAGTGAAAATAGGTCGACATGTACATGGACAGTGTGTATGTTCAATTCTTAAAAACGTGGCAAGCAGTTTGCGATTCTGCACTTTCTCCCAATTTCGCACCTAATCTTCGTCATGATTAAGCACTTTTGTTCCATAAAAGTTCTAGCATAAGCATAATTCGGCTAGTAGATTGTTGGAAAAAAAATGTTAAGTAAAAAAAAAAAAAAAAAAAAGCCTTTACTTCAAGAAAACAAAATGGCATCCAAAAAAAAAAAAAAAATTAGCACGTTGCTGTATTGCTGTAGCAGCATTGGTCACCAAATTTTCGCCAAAAAATCACCAAGTTACCATAATCCGAAGATTAACCAAAAAAACTAATGGAGCTCATCATACTTAGGGCTCTGCTACACTCTGGCTAGAATTGTAATTTATCTTAAAACTGAGAAGTACCAGAGCCACTCTGTGGTGGGTCGAACACAATTTAAGCACTGACTATATATGGAGGAGCCAAGGATAACACCACTGTTAAGTGTGTGTGTTTTTAATTGTAAGCAGTTTCGGTACAACTCTAATATACACCCTAATTTCACCAAATGTGGCGATATGTGTTGTTCTGCGGTGGTTTTTGGCGCGATTGCGTGTTCTATGGCAACCCTGTTGACATTGAAAAATCTTTCGCTGGAGCTCGTTGGTTCGCCTCTGTGTCTGAGAAAATGGGAGGGAAAGATAAAATGGTAGTTGTTGAATTGAAGTTCGGCAAAAGGAAATATGATTGTGGCTATCCTGTTGAAGGGCAGTAGGTATTTGGAAGTGTGAAAAGAGGGTCTGGGAGATTATTTTTAATGGCAGTGCATGATAGAAGTAGGGATTTGTGATTTTATTTATTTGTGAACCATAGTATAAATTTTCTGGATAGTGTGTCTGGCTGTCATGTAAATACGATAGTGATTACGTGCCTGCATGTCAAAGGCGATATGAAATTTGTATTTCTGCTATTCGAAAACGCATTAATTCATGGTAAGTGCATTTAGTTTTATCCTTGTTCTTATTTTGTAGAATGTTATGTTCATTGGTTCTTTAGTATGAATTTCTGTCATTATTGTTGTTTTTTTAAATTGTTTGAAATTTATTTTAGTTTATTTTGTTGTTTAGTGTCTAGTTTTATATATATGTTTGAAACAGAACAACATATAAGTTGAAACAGAATGCTGTGTACATGGTATTATTTGAAATTTATTGTTATGTTATTTTATTAAAGCGAGGAGTGCGTATATCGTAGTTTCCTTCCTTGCCTAAATTGTGCAATTCGTAGAATTTTTTTAAAGTTTAAACAGGATGCTGTGTACATGGTATTCTTTGAAATTTATTGTTGTTATGTTAATTTATTAAAGCGAGGTGTGCGTAGTTTGTAGATTCGTTCATTGCCTACATTGTGCAATTCGTAGATGTTTTTTTAAGTTAAAACATGTCACTGTGTACATGTATTCTTGTCAAATATTTTTGGTTAGAAACTTTACGTTTTTGCTATCTAAATTTTTTGTTTTTGTTCCAATTTTTAGCTAAATTGTGTGTTCAAAACGTAGTTTTTGCATGTGCGAAAACCGCGTTTTTGGAGACATTTTAGGCTAAAAGTTCAAAATGTAGACAACAAATTTAGATAATAATATATGCAAGCGTGAAGTTTCTCACCAAAAATATTTGGCGATAAATTTGGCGACTTGAGGGCGCATATCAGAGTAGTTCCGCAGTTTCTAGTGTGTGTGTCAACACCCACACCCATGGAAATTGCTTACAAATAAAAAATCCGCCAAAGTGCATTGTAGGCACATAATAGAAAAGTAGAAAAAAAAAACATATGCATCATAAAAAAAGAAGAAATTCAATGTAATAATTAGCATAAATAAGCATGAAATTATTGTTCATTGTGGTTTCGGCCCACCAGCGGCCGAGCGGTAACGTCGCTGAACACTGGTAGTTCGGTGTGACGTGTATACAAGCCAGTTTCCCTTGACAATTTTATAAAAGTCCTCCACGAAGGTATCCCTCCCTTAAGGCAGATAGCCCTCGAGTGTTTTGCCGTAATCCAGTGCTCCGCAACCGGTGTGCCATGAGTAGGATATATTTGTGCCGCAACCAAATACATGTATTTGACATTTTGCAATTTTTTATCATGTATTGAATACACAATGACAATTTTTTTCCTTAATAATGTCTATTTTAAATGTTTTTATATATTTCACTGTTGTGTGGTTGTGTGTGTGATTGTGTGTCAGCATTTGAATTTTTTCGGCACTTCCTTGATAACTCGGAACTCTTTGGTGTGCCACGAAATTCCCGAAAGATTTTTTGTGCGTCGCAGGTGAGAAAAGGTTGCAGAGCACTGCCGTAATCTAATAAACCAAAACCAAACCATTGTGGTTTCACTGGATCGCATTCTAATTTTACCAATACTCCACTTATTTAAACTTTTAATTTCTCCATTTCTTTGGTATTTAAGAGTACAAATTTATTTTTCTTACAATATTATGTGCTTATTGATTGATTAAAATGCTGAATTGAGGATGGACAGGATTTCATTGTTTGATAAAGATAACATCTTTTTGAGGTATTAAAAAAATCAAAATTATGATACATGTAATAAATCATTCATACCCGTTACTTACTAAAAACATGAATTAAATTTATAAAACTTAAAAGTAAATTTTCTAAGTTTTCAGCATCTAATTAGAAACTAATGAGATAGGTTAATATTTCTTCTATTAAAAATATTCATAACATACATGTTTTGCAAAATTAACTAATTATTTCTCAATTAATTTTGGATATCAATCAAAAGTAGCTTTAATTCATATGCAGACTATATTCAGAAATTTTAATTAAAACTATATGATATTCTAATTCAAAATTAAACATTACTATTTTAATAAATAGAAAATTACATCTAGGGGAAAATATTAAATAAATATTTTCAGATATTTTCCTACTTATACATTAAATTTTGTTATCAAAACAAACATCCTTTAACTGTCATAAATACAAGATTCAGCCTCACTAATGGACTTATTATAAAATGATTTTACCTTAAAAATAGCAATTGTTAGATCTTTATCAATTGAATAAATTAAAACAGGAATGATACCGTACACTTATAATATAACAATTTTATTAAAAAGGGGATTAAATCTTACTGTAAAACAGTTTGAACTGAATGACTATATGCCTGCCAGAATAACTTTATCATTATTTATCTAAAAGTTTGATAAGATTTACACTATTCTGTCATAAAAATTGTTTTTCAGTAAAACTACAACTACATACGATGAAATGCTTTTAAAAAACATATCTAAAACATATCTAAAAGTCACAATCATTCTTATTTCAAAACACATGATCAATCTATTTGGAAGAATTACAACAAAAAATATGACATTTGTCAATTCATGACTGATCAGAATTACTCAATAGAATTTACAAAACAATTCTTATCTTCACAGCAAAATGTTTTTATTATTTTCTTTCCATCAGCAAAGCTCATTTTCAATCCATTCAGTGTTTTATTAGAACTTTAAAAGAAAAACAAAAGTATTCATACTTTGTGAGTAACCAACCCCTACCCCCATAAAAAATCATCAGCATAATGGCAACTTTATGAATTGAGAAAAAAATTTTATTTAGCAATCTTTGCAGCCCAAGAAAATACGGGAAAATTTTAGTCTGTGGATACTTTTCAGCTACAGCCTTCAAACAAGTTTTCATAATATGAATAATTTATTAAGGTATCAGTTCCATAAGCAAATAAATATCACTATTCTTGATGAATTATGTACACTCAATAAATGTACCATTTATTAGCTTTAAAAATGTAAACAAATGAAATATTTTCCATGATTAATCTTATTATGAAATTTTAAGGGACAGAGAGGTGTAGATTTTTGAAATCAACTATGAAAAGACTACAGCTTTACAAGAAGCAATTTAATATTGCAACCGGGGGTGTAGATAATCAGAAAGTGCCAAATTAATTTCCAAATCAGGAAGATTTCTTTCTGATGTCATTTCTTCTTTTTCTTATATTGGGAAGAAGGTTTTAAATTTTAGAAAAATCACAAATTTACATTTTCTGAGGCTTTCCCTTAGGTATTTACAAGCTTCACATATTTATATAAACCAATTTTTTTTTACACTTAATAGTTACTTCTGTGCAGATAAAATGCTGTTTTATAACTGTTCACTTCCCAGTGTAATCATTTTAATACCAAACATTAAACAAATATAAACCATAAAAGAGTGCTTCATCCTTGCTTCGAAATTACCGAAATGTAATTCAAACTCTCAGATGTACTCAAGTTGAATAAAATAATAAACTATTCGCAGTATTAGCAATTTGCACTTCTTTTGCAAAATAAATAAATGTAACATAAATTTAAAAATAGTGCACAAAAATAAAACATACTTACTATTAAGTTGATAATGATATAGAAGTTTTGCAATTAATGAAGTAACTCACAAGAACTTCAGCCATAATATGGATAAAATATTAAGACATGGTACACAAATCCTTCAAAAAGACAATTTTTAACGAGCAACAGAGCTAAAATACCATTATTTAAAAATATAATTAATGAACTGTTCTGATTTACAATGGCATTAGCTATCATGTAGAACTACACATTTCTGTAGGAATAAACCATTACACAGCAAATGAAATGTTTAATCTACAATAAAATCATTTCAACTCCGATGGCATTTAACGCTCATTGCTGATATGTAAAAGCACGCTCGCTCGCACTGATAAGGACAGGTTTTGTTTATTTATAAAGATAACAGGCTACAGATTACACAGCTTGGCAATATATTTTGAATTTTTCAGTCTACATAAAAAAATTTGCTGGTCAGAAGTTTCAAAAATACGTTTGCGAAGTTTTACGTTAATAACGAAGTTTCAAATATTTTAAATTATTTATGTTTTTCTTTAAATAAAATTTATTACTGCAACAAAAAAATTTAAATTAGAGAACCATTACGCTTAAAAACAGCCAAAGCAAAAAATCTGAAATCAAAAGTTTAGAATCTACTGTAGTATCAGTAAAATGAAGAATTCATCTTAAGTGCACATTTTTACTTTCTTAAATTCTAGTGTTATACCAAAAATAATAATTAATTAATTTAATAAAACTGCTAAAAAGTGTTATTTTTCCCGCAGATTTCAATATTTTAATAGTTATTATTTATTTCTCATAACCTCCTTGTATGCTGCACAAACCTATAAAACGGATTGAATGGCCACCATTACCAAGCATAGATATTATAATAATACTGTTGTGTCAACACCGACTCTACACCGACTAGTAGAGTCGGTGTCGGTTGTGTGCGTACGGGTTCGTAATGGATTGAATGCATAAGTCGATAAAAAGTTAATAAATTTATTCTTTTGGTGGTCGTGTTCTTAATGCATGATATAATTAAAGAAAATAAGAGTAGACAATCTCCTATAACAAAAGAATATATTAAGAACTAAATTATAATTTAAATTACATTGCAGAGATCAACACAGAGCTCGGACACAGTTCATGCTACCGTCGCGTACAGTTGTCTCACGAGAAGTCTGAGTGAGTAATGACGTCGCTTTGCTGCTCTGATTATGAACTGGATTTCACACGTGGCGCCATCTCATGAATAGAAGTTGAAGTATCTGTCGGAACGCCACAGTACTCCCCCCCAAGTACCATCGGTACGTTATAAGTACTTTGGGTTAAATTTAACCTTTCTTCCAGATCTGGTAGTTTTAGGTTGATCTTTAACGGGATGTAAGCTTTCTTCCGGGAGTGATGTTGATGAGGAAGTTGTTGGATCTTGCATTAGAAATGCTGGTTTGAGACGATCGATTCCAATCACTGATTGTTTGCCATTGCAGATGATGGTGAAATGTTTCGGTGTTCGTTTGACAACTTTGAATGGACCATCATATGAAGGTGTTAAAGTTGGCTTAATTGCATCGTTGCGCACGAATACGTGCGAAGATGTCTCAAGCGCAGGATGTACAAAATAGCTTGGCTGGTTATGCGAAGATGCTGGGGTTGGCGAGATATTGCTCGTGGTCTCACGTAAACGTTGAAGGAATGTTGGAGGGTCGATAACTGGAGTAGATTCTGGGTGAAAGAATTCACCTGGCAGACGGAGGGTTGCACCATATAACATTTCAGCACAAGTGCTACCAATGTCTTCTTTGAATGCTGTGCGAAGACCAAGCAAAACTAGGGGTAAGGCTTCTGTCCAGTGTGCTACTGTGGCACTTCAGACCTTGTTTGAGAGATCGGTGAAAGCGTTCCACCATCCCATTATTAGATGGATGGTATGGTGTTGTGCGAATATGGCGAATGCCAAGAAGAGAGGTGAGGGATGCGAACAAGTGACATTGAAATTGTCGGCCTTGGTCAGTAGTGATGGTGGTAGGCATGCCATATCTTGAAAGCCACTGGGAGAAGAATGCTCGAGCTACAGTTTCAGCGGATATATTTTCAATAGGAATGGCTTCAGGCCATCTTGTGTACCGATCAATACAAGTGAGGAGGTAAGTGTAACCATTTGAAGGAGGCAATGGGCCAACCAAGTCTAAGTGCACATGATCAAAGCGTCTTGCTGGAAGGTTAAATTGTTGAATGGGGCTGTGAGTGTGACGGGATACTTTACACCGTTGACATCTAATACATGAACGAGTCCATTCTGTGATGTCTTGATTCATTGCTGGCCAGACAAATCTGTCTGCAATCAGCTTTTTGGTGGCACGGATTCCAGGATGTGCCAAATTGTGCAAGGCATTAAACACTTCACGTCTAAAATTGACAGGAATATAGGGGCGTATTCTATTGTTCTCTATCTCACAGTAAATTTTAAGCGTTGGATCAATGTGCAGCGGTTGTAACTGAAGGGAGGTTTGTGGATTTGAGATTAGGTTCTTGAGTTCCTCATCATGCAATTGAGCTTTTGCAATTTCAGAGAAATCTGGGGTAGTGAGGTTGATATTGTTTACCCGAGACAAGGCATCAGCGACACAATTATCAGTACCAGAGACATATCTGATATCTGTACTAAACTGGGCGATGAAATCCGGATGTCGAAGCTGACGAGGAGAACATGAGTCAGAGTTTTTTCTAAAAGCGAAGGTTAATGGTCGATGATCGGTGAAAATGATGAAGTCGTGTTCTTCCAAGTTGTGCCGGAAGTATTTAACAGCACAGTACACAGCAAGTAGCTCCCTGTCATATGTGCTGTACTTCCTTTCTGAAGAAATAAAGGAAAACGCTGCAATTTCTTCAGAGATATTAGTACAATATCACAATATCTCACTGTCCTTTTATTTTAAACTACTAAAACGTTAAAAGAACACAATTCAAAGCAGAAAAAGCTAATCCGATCTCACCGGGAATTCGCTGCAATCAACAACAAGAACTAAGTAAGCAACTCATAAAACAACTGAACTGAGTTTGATCTGACTTTGTTTTTGTGAATTTGTTTGAAGTGAATGTTTTGATCTGACTTTTATAAGCTTTTTAATTATGCACGAAAACATTCTGGTGTTTTCTCGATTTTTCTGGACAGCAAAAGAGTACAATTACGAGATATCTACTTATTAAATATTTTAATTTTTTGGGCGTTAGCTTTCTCTTAAAACTTTCACGCAGCATTGCACGGGGAAATGAAAAAAAATAATTACAATTCTACTAAAGATAGTAAACTAAATACAAAAGCCGTAACAATACTAATAGGTGAAGTACAGTGAACTATCTTTTAGTACACTATAAATGAAGTTCATTAGTCTCTCCAAGCATATTGCTGCGTGCGTACGGATTCATAATAGACTGAACGTCCACAGAAACTATGATTGCTTGATGAAATTTATTTTACTAGAAATTTATTTTACTAAAGAAACACTTCGCAGTTCTGGAATTTTCCACAAAAACCTTCGTACAGTTCTTCACAAAATCGCAGAGTAGAATCAGTAATTATACTTCAAACTACTGGGAACGTTAAACATTAATCAGTGCAAGGCGTCTAAAGAGCGAAGCTAACAGGGAGATATCTTAATACTTCGAACCGCAATAACCTAAACCACAACCGCCCCGAAACTGATGCTCTTTCCTGTCTTGTATAGTTCCCCTCCCCCGGCAATCGGGAAATCTCTAGTACTCCTCGAAATTACTTAAAGGCATATGAGGAATACTGTTAAAGCTACATTATGTATCAATTACAGTTATTCAGTTATAGTAGAGGAACCGGCAGGGCTTAATTTCTGAAACTAGAAGCGCCGGAGCCTCATGAAAGATCATCAGGAAAGAATAATTAAAATTAAATAAAATGGAAAGAGATAAATTAAAATTTAATAAGGAGTTTTTAAACTGCGCCGGTGCCCACCGGAGCCCGGCTCCGGTACTTCTTAGTTTTGGGGACAAATTCTACTTCTAGCCGGAGTGCACCGGAGCCCTGAATTAAGAAAGCTCCGGCACTTCTTTTATGTAATTGAACAGTTGTTTCAGTAGAAATTTTCTGTCGAAAATTTTATTTTTAACAATAAAATTATATTAAGCTCTGGGAACAGGACAAAATGTCTCCAAACGGTCACTAAGTCTGGCGACTTTTGGCGATTTCTCGCCACATTTGACCATAAAAGTTAGTCGCCAAAACCAAGTCCAGGTTCGCGATATCTTGCCAATTCAGCGAGATAGCCATTTACTCTATGTTAAATAGACTTGCCGTTGCCCATGTACTCTTAAATTTTCGGCAAGCTTCGCTTCTTTAGTATGTTACATTATACAGGAAAAAAAATCACATATATTTTTACTAAAATTATTTACATATGTACAAAATACATAACACTATTTTTTATTCCAAACAGAGTTAGGGAATCAGCCATTGCAATTTATTTTGCATTTAGGAATCATTATTTTGAATTATATGTTGTCCACGAAGCCATGAAATCTGGTTTTATTTGGTAATTTTGGTAGCTTCCTCCATGTTGAAGCTTAGCTTTGCTTACAGTTATACCTACCATTTTAAAAAAGAAAACGGAATAACTTTTCGCAAGTAATTATCATGATCAAGGATTTCATTAATTACAGTTTGAAAATGTAGGATAATTATTAATGAATGGTATTGTTACGGATTTTGTATTTAGTTAGCTAGTTTTAGTATAATTGTAATTAAAATTGTTTTATTTCCCTGTGCAATGCATCGCGTGACAAGTTTTAAGAGAAAGTTACATCGAAAAAGTAAAAATACAGGAGAATCAGCATGTAACATTTAATAAATAGATATCTCGTAATTTTACTATTTTGCTTTCTAGAAAGAAACCTCGAGAAAACGGAAATCACCAGAAGTTTCTCGTAAAAAACGCCAGATGGAATCGGATTTGCTTTTTCTGCGCTTTGAATTGTGTTCTATTTAACATTTTAGCAGTTTATAACTATTGTGATATTGTACGAATATCTGCGAGGAAAAATTGCAGCATTTTGTTTTATTACTTGTGATAAGAATAAATTTTATTAAATTTTCATCAGATTTATATATTCAATCTATTACGAACCCGTATGCACGCTACACTTTTTGGTGTCAGGAGTGGGGTTGAGTGCCAATCACTAGAAGGATGGAAGAACAATTGAGATAGCTCGTCACTGCTGCATTCAAAGGAAAGATAGAAGCTGGCCAAGCATCATTTAAACAATTTTGGGAGCTTTCAAAAATGCATTTTTGGAAAACTTGCAGTCCATTTCTATGACAATCCTATAACTCAGTTACCGCTTCTTGATTAAACTTGATTT